ACATACTACCATCCGGTCAAATGGCTGTCAAGACTCTTCTTCAAAAACCTCCAGTGATGGAGCAGCCACAACTTCTGGAGGCAAGTTGTTCCACTGATGAATTGTCCTCACTGTCAGGAAATTTATCCTTACTTCTAGGTTGCTTCTCTCCTTGATTAGTTTCTATCCATTGCTTCTTGTTTTGCCTTCTGGTGCTTTGAAGAATAGGTTGACCTTCCCTCTTCTTTGTGACAGTCCTTGGAAGATGGCTAACACATCACCCGTAGTCCTTCTCTTCATTAGTCTAGGCATTCGCCATTCCTGCAACTGTCCTTTATATGTTTTAGCCTCCAGTCCCTTAATCATCTCTGTTAGTCTTCTCTGGACTCTTTCTCGAGTCTCAACATCTTTTTTTATATCATGGTGATCAAGACTTCATCTTGGTGATGATACCAAGTTGACTACTTAATGTCAGAAGTCACCAGGAGATTCCTCCACTGTGACTCCAGAAAATTCTGACACCTTGCTTTTGTGGAATTAGGCAATGAATGTTCCCTGTGGCATGTTGGTGATCTCATTTGGACCATAATGGCTGTTGAAGAACAAGATATAGTTCTTGTTCAACCTGAAGTATTGAATGGATCCAACCATCGTCTACTTGTTCCTTTCAGTGGCCCAATTATGGACCTATCTATCAAGAGAAATTTCCTGGCAGTGAGAACAATTAATCAGTCTTGCCTCCAGAAGTTGTGGGTGCTCCATCATTGGAGGTTTTTTTAAAGAAGAGATTGGACAATAATTTGTCTGGAGTGGTTTATGGCAAGGGTGTCAAATTGGATTTCTTTGAGGGCCGGATCAGCATTGTAGTTCTCCTCCACAGGCCGGCGGGGTGGGAGATGGCCTTCCTGCAGCACCCTGCTGGCCAAAATGGGGCGTGGGGGGTGCTGCGTGTGACCCCCTCTGCCCCGTTTTTGGCCTAAACAGCCTACTGGAGCAAGGCCTCCGCACAGCCCAATTTTGGCTGGCAGACTGCTGGAGGCCAGGGAGGTCAAAAACAGGCCATGCGGGGCCCTTGTGGGGCCTCCACGCAGCCCATTTTTGGCCGGCAGAGTGCTGCAGGAGGCTGTGGAGGCTGAAAATGGGCCGTGGACTGGTCCTTTGATATTTCCAGGCCGGACCCACAGGCCAGATTAAAGCACCCCGTTGTTCTGCCCCAGCTACGGACCCCAAAGAACACAGCACACATAAAGTTTGTACAAAGCTTAATTTACTAAAATAACTCAGTCTTTTTCAGAACAAAGGCTGTTAATAAACTTTCTTAACAGCCTACAAGAAACCAAAGATAAAGTAATCACAATCTTACTAAGGTTGGCAGAAAGCCCAGAAGCAATTTGCAGAGAATCCAGACGTGAAGGAGAGCGAACTAAAGTTGTTCCCTACAAATTGCTTCAGTCAGCGTTCCTCCTTAAATAGGCTGAGGGAGTGGCCAATTAGCCCCAAGCCTTACTCTCGAGGAGACCTCCTCCTGAGGAGCCACTCCTGCCTTTTGGCAGCTCTGTGCGCCCGTGCATCGAGAAGAGGCTCCTCCTCTTCGTCCTCTTCACTTATGGGAGCTTCTGGAGGTTCTGAAGGCCCTGGCTGAATCCCCGCCTCTGGCACCACATCTTCTCCAGCCTCCTCACTGTCTGACTCGAGTGCCAGCTGCACAGGCTGCTGGCGCAGCACCACACCAGCCTCCTCGCCAGAAGACCATCAAGGTCCCTTCCAACTCTGTTTCTCTGTTATTGTATTCTGTTACATTAATTAAGTAGACCGTTTGGGAGGGGAGAACATAACTTGGATTCTGAGAGGTGCAATTTCATCAAGCACAGCCTTGTACCCCCCTCAGAAGATCTTCACGTGCTCTCCACATGGTAAGCACCAGGGGAAAATTTGCGTTCGGCAAGTCTTCATCCAGGATTCCCTTTTCTATTAATCTGAAACGGAAACGCAGCGTGAGAACAGGACTTTCAATCACGCCGGAGACTCGGGAATTTTAATGAGCTTTAAATGGGCATCTGTCAGAATCCTGACTTGGCGGAACTGACCTGCCAGCCAAGGGATGAGTAACGACCCATAAAAAGTGGGGGGGGGGACGGAAAAGCCCCTTTGTGAATGCCTCTTTCTTAGAGGAAAGGAAAAGTTGTAATTTGCAGTGTTATGACATTATAATTATGCCCCCATGAAAAGCGAGAGCATTAAAAAACAGACTCGTCTAGATAGGCGGGAGTTGTTGTTCCTTCTTCTCCCCACTGGAGGTGTGTGTGTGTGTGTGTGTGTGTGTGTGTGTGGGAGAGAGAGAGAGAGAGCACACACCAAAAGATGGCAGTAGTGTCCATGTCATCAAAGACCCATCTCTTAATTATCCGCATCAAAATACAGAATAACAGAACTGGAAGGGACCTTGAAGGTCTTCTAGTCCAACCCTCTGCACAAGCCAGGGACCTTATATCATTCCAGACAAATGGTTGTCCAATCTCTTCTTGGAAACCTCCAGTGATGGAGCACCCACAACGTCTGGTGGCATGCTGTTCCAGTGGCTAATTGTCCTCACTGTCAGGAAATTTCTCCTTAGTTCTAGGTTGCTTCTCTCCTTGACTAGTTTCCATCCGTTGCTTCTTCTCCTGCCTTCTGGTGCTTATCCTGAAGTCTCCTCTCAAATCCCAAGTACAAGAAAGTAGAAATTCCTGAACCTCTGCTATACTAGCGCGACATGACAACTTTCAAAGAAGTCCTTGGAGATGAGATGCTGGATTTTTTTTTTCTGACATTCCTAAAAAAGAGAGAAGATAAATCCCCCTTTTTTTTTTATTAAATTGCCCATGCGTTGGTATTTAGAGAGGGTTTTTTCCCCCCTATTCTCAATAAAACCCTTTACCAGGAAATACACAAAGGGGACTTTTAAAGAAGAAATTAGAAGATTTCTCCTTCTCTTCCTTCTTCTTCTTTCCTTCTTCTCCTCCCTTTCTTTCTCCTCATCATTCTTCTTTCTTTCTTTCTTTCTTTCTTTCTTTCTTTCTTTCTTCTCCTTCTCCTTCTCCTCCTCCTTGTTCCTCTTGCACCCTATGACTATCATTAAGTGTTGTACCTTATGATTCTTGGCGAATGTATCTTTTCTTTTATGTACACTGAGAGCATATGCACCAAAGACAAATTCCTTGTGTGTCCAATCACACTTGGCCGATAAAGAATTCTATTCTATTCTATTCCTTCTTCTTCTTCTTTTTCCTCCTCCTCCTTCTCCTCCTCCTTCTTTTCATCTTGTTCTCCTTCTCCTCCTCCTCCTCCTCTTCTCCTCCTCCTCCTCCTTTTCTTCTCCTCTTCCTCCTCTTCCTCCTCCTCTCTGCAAACCCTCTCCCTTCTCCTCCTCCTCCTCCTCCTCCTCCTCCTTCTCCTCCTTTTCTTCTGCTTCTCCTCCTCCTCCTTTTCTTCTGCTTCTCCTCCTCCTCCTTTTCTTCTGCTTCTCCTCCTCCTCTTCCTCCTCCTCTCTGCAAACCTCCTCCCTTCTCCTTCTCCTCCTCCTCCTCTTCCTCCTTCTCCTTCTTTTCATCTTGTTCTCCTCCTCCTCTTCTTCTCCTCCTCCTCCTTTTCTTCTCCTCCTCCTCCTCCTCCTCTTCCTCTTTCTCCTTTTCATCTTGTTCTCCTCCTCCTCCTCTTCCTCCTCCTCTCTGCAAACCTCCTCCCTTCTCCTTCTCCTCCTCCTCCTCCTCTTCCTCCTCCTCCTCCTTTTCTTCTGCTTCTTCTCCTCCTCCTCCTCTTCCTCCTCCTCTCTGCAAACCCTCTCTCTTCTCCTTCTCCTCCTCCTTCTCCTCCTTTTCTTCTGCTTCTTCTCCTCCTCCTCTCTGCAAACCTCCTCCCTTCTCCTTCTTCTCCTCCTCCTCCTCTTCATCCTTCTCCTTCTTTTCATCTTGTTCTCCTCCTCCTCTTGTTCTCCTCCTCCTCCTCCTCCTTTTATTCTGCTTCTTCTTCTATTGCTTCTTCACAGGAAGGATATACTGTAATATAGCCCCTAAGGTTTCTGAGATTACCCTCAGGGTAACTTCAGTGGAGTTGAAGTTATGTGATCAACCCTCAGGGATAACTTCAGCGGAACCCAGCATAGCTCTTCTTGTGCCCCTCTACAGACAGAAAAAAGAAACCCAATAATTCCGGGTTTCTCACAAGTTTCCGCCTCGTGGGTTAAAAAGTGAGATGTATAATTTTATGCCTATTGAGAAGCCTTCCCAACCCATCACTAACTGGCTTGTGTTAGGTGCCAGAATCTGATCTGATCTCCTAGAGACCATCTTAACAACGTGACCAAGAAGAAGGTTTTACCTCTTTATTTTATGCCTCAAGATGATTCCTGTTTTCATTTCTCAGATACTTGGGGTTATAGAAGACAATGAGTAAGTTGTGGTAGTAGAACCAGGGGTGGTATTAACTTAGGATCGCTACCGGTTTGCAAATGTGAGCGATTGCCACCTCCGCGCAAGCAGAGAGCATCAAAAACGGGACGTGATAACGTCTGGGCGGGTGGGCGGAGCCCAGTGGTGAAATCCAATTTTTTTTACTACCGGTTCTGTGGGCGTGGTGTGGCTTGGTGGGCGTGGTGTGGCTTGGTGGACGTGGCTTGGTGGGCGTGGTGGGGGAAGGATACTGCAAAATCTCCATTCCCAGCCCACTGGGAATAGCAGCCTTTGGTGGTATTTGCCGGTTCTCAGAACTGCTCAAAATTTCCGCTACCGGTTCTCCAGAACTTGTGAGAACCTGCTGAATTTCATTCCCTGCAGAGCCTCCCACAGCCGCCGCTACAGGTTTGCCTGAACCGGATAGAACCGGCTGAATACCATCACTGAGTGGACCCATGTTTTGTCCCAGCTGGGACCTCCTCACTTTCTGGCATCTTACCTCCCTCTCTCCCTTCTCTCTCTCTCTCTTTCTCTCTCCTTCCCTCTCTCCCTCCCTCCCTCTTTCTCTGTCCTCCTCCACCTTCCCCCTAGGACCAGAGGGCTGCAACCTGTTTATCTACCATCTGCCCCAGGAGTTTGGGGACGCAGAGCTGATGCAGATGTTCCTGCCATTCGGTAATGTCATCTCCTCGAAAGTGTTTGTGGATCGGGCGACAAACCAAAGTAAATGCTTTGGTGGGTAAAGATAACAAAACAATTAGTTTCATCCAGGAAAGGAACTTTCTCTGATCTACTTTGACTATTATTATTATTATTATTATTATTATTATTATTATTATTATTATTTATTATTAATTTGATTTCCTTCCGACTGCTATTTTTATTATTTATTTATTTTTCCGTGTTTTTTTTTTTTTTTTTTTTTTTTGCAAATTTATATTCAGCTGACTTTTCCCTCCCCTCTCACTTTACCTTTGTTGATCAACTCTGTCCTTCCTTCCCTCCAGGACCTTTCCTGTAACTTCTCCACTTCCTTCCTTCTTACTGTCTAACCGACTCAAATCCTGTGTCTCCTGCTACACAAGGGAATATGTGGGGCCGCACACCCCAAAACCCTGGCTGCAGAGAATGGGGAAGCCCCATACACTGGGGGTGGGGGGGCTTCTAGGACAATTCTCCATGGCCAGCTCATCACAGCCAACTCATTGCGGGTCAATTCAACGCTGTATTAATCTATTCATTCCATTAGTTGTGTCATCGGTGACCACATTTTGGTCAAAATGATCATCGCTCTTGTATTTCTGGATTGACCTATTTTAATTTATTATTTGCCAGGCTTCCGTTTGAAATTAATTTAAACTTTCGTACAGTATTTGTTGACTTGTCCCTGAGTGAATTGGCTGCGTTGAGTCGGCCATAATGAGTTGGCCGCGGTGTGTTGGCCATGGCAAGTTGTCTCATTCTGCACTGGGAGAAGGGACAGGGAAAGGAGCCATGGAGGAGAGAGGTTGGTCAGGGTGATGGATGGAGAGGGACATGTGGAATGCCAAAGCAGAGAAGGAGGGATGGGAAGAAGGGAAGGGACGGAGGAGAGATGAAAGTGAATTCAACGGTGAAGTTGATCATCAGCAGGATTCAATCTGCTTTGGCCAAAGACAGAAGGGTTGGAGATCCTCAGTCATCCAGGCCATGGTTGTCCCAAAGGTGCTTCGTCAAAAGGCAACTAGACTTTCTTGGTTTCGCTTGAAGGTGTTTCGCTTCTCATCTAAGAAGCTTTTTCTGCTCAGAAACATCTTCAAGCAAAACCAAGGAAGTCCAGTTGCCTTTTGGAAAAGCACCGTTGGGGCCCTGAAGGGTTGGGTTTCAGGATGCATGTGGGAACATCGATGTTTGAACTCTTGGTAGGTGGTCCCCATCCTCGCTCCTCTTTCCTCTTGTGCTGCTGCTAATTGTTTTGGATGCCATGTTGTTGGATGGGTTGGTGGGTACCACTTTGAACACCTTGCCTTCATCTCCTGCCATCAATTCACTCCCCTCATGAGCTGCCCGCTATCTGCTCACCTGCATTGGTTCCAAAGCTTCCCTCACCTGCCCAACCCTTGTCTTCCTGCAACAGCCAGGTGGGACCTCAAAAATTGAGGTTCAGGAGAAACTTTTTTTTGCTTTTTCAATCTTCTCCAGATCCAGCTCAAAGCCAGCTTTGGGGCAATTTCTCCCCTTCATGTCTGAATCCTGATGGGTTGCAGCTTGAAAAGTGGGTTGATCCACCACTGTGGTTTGGGGGGAGAAGAAATAACAGATTGTACCAGCTGAAGGCGGGGGGGTACAGAGGCCAAAAACATGGGGATAGAGGCGGAAGTCAACGTTCTTCAACATGGGCAACTTGAGTCCCAAATTCGACATTTGGGTGAACAGCACCCAGGGGTGCCTGTAGGGCGGTGCCAAGGCAGGTGTCCACCCCTGTCTAGCCACATGAAAAATGGAGACCTTGGCCAGGAGGCCTATGGAAGCAAAGATGAAATGTCAACATGGAAACGCAGACAATCCCAAGCTTTGTCCATGAACAATACCTAAGAGAAGATTCTGGTGTGATGGGAACAGAAAGCTTTGGGGTGCGCATGCATAGGTTTCTGTGGGTCGTAATTGGGTTCTTGGTGATTGATTTTGAACTGGCCGGACAGGACATAAAGAATAATGGTGATATGAGGTCTTGTGAGAGGGGAATACGGGTCAGAAAGCTAATGGTAATCCTTGATTTATGACCACAGTCGAGCACAAAATTTATGTCGCTAAGCGAGATAGTTGTTTAGTGCGCTTCGCCCCATTTTATGGCCTTTCTTGCCAGAGTTATTAAGCAAATCACTGTAGGGGTTAAATTAGTGACATGGTTGTTGAGTGAATCTGGCTTTCCCCTGGACGTGGCTTGCCGGAAGGTCACTGCGACGGTCATAAATATGAGTCAGTTGCCAAGCATCTGCTCACATGGCCATGGGGATGCTGCAACGGTTTTAAGTGTGAAAACAGTCATAAATCACTTTTTGAGCTGTTGTAAATTGAGGGTTACCTGGAGGATTTGGGGCTGTTCTGCCCCAGCTACGGACCCCAAAGAACGCAGCACACACAAAGTCCATTCAAACCTTAGTTTACCTGAATAAACCAGTCTTTTACAACAAGGACTGTTAATTAACTGCATTAACAGCCACCAAGAATTCAAAGAATAATAACTGAAAGCTTACTGTGGTTGGCAGAATGCCTAGAAGCAATTTGCAGGAAGCTGATAAGATAAGCAAGACAAGACACGAAGGTATGTGAACGAAGTTGTTCCCTGTAAATTGCTTCAGTTGGTGTTCCTCCTTAAATAGGCTAAGGGAGTGGCCAATTAGCCCCAAGCCTTACTCTCGAGGAGACCTCCTCCTGAGGAGCCACTCCTGCCTTTTGGCCGCTCTGCGCGCCCGTGCATTGAGAAGAGGCTCCTCCTCTTCGTCCTCTTCACTTATGGGAGCTTCTGGAGGTTCTGAAGGCCCTGGCTGAATCCCCGCCTCTGGTACCACATCTTCTCCAGACTCCTCATTGTCTGACTCGAGTGCCAGCACCACACCAGTCTCCTCGCTGTCTGAATCAGCTACTAGCTGCACAGGCCGCGTACGGGCCACAACAGGGGCTGGAGTAAACCCCAGAACTGAAGGTTATTCCACCGGTTCCTCGTGTGAACTTCTTTCCAGAGAAATTCTAGCCAAGGTAGTGTTTTCATTATCATAAATAACAGGATGGCCAATTTGCGACTAAGAGCAAAAACCCCAGCATGTAAAGAGAAAAAAGTACGTTATATTGGATAACATAATAACAAGGCACATCAGAGCTGAAGGAGAAGCTTCTTGGATGAGAAGCGAAACATCTTCAAAAGAAAAAGAAAGAAGAAAGTCCAGTTGCCTCCTGAAAAAGCACCTTTGGGACAACCATGACCAGAAGGACTGAGAATCTCTACAGACTTTTAGCTATACAATTTGGGATGGACACCCTTGGAACGGTGTGGGAGAAGGAATGGATTTCCAGAGGGAATAATTGCAGACTACAGGAATCATTTGCACCACTCAGGTGACCCTGAGGACACAGGTACACCTCCAAGTGGCCTCAACGCCTCTCTTAAAAGGATGCAAATGACCAGCTGTCTGCAAGGAGTATAAATCCTTCCATTCCCCACCATCCAGTCAGAGCTGAAGAAGCTTCTTGGATGAGAAGCGAAACATCTTCAAAGAAAAACCAGAGAGCCCAGTTGCCTCTTGAAAAAAAGCACTTTTGGAAGAAGGAATATTGCCTTTAAGAAACTGAATGTTCAGCTTTAGTTGCAGAACAATACGGAGGGCCTAGGAGCTCCCGTGTATTGCTAATCATGTATGACTTTCTGATGATGGCCCCTTAGCAAAGAAACACCTATGGAGAATCGTGTGTTGGTCATCACCCTGAGCGATCACGATTCTTCCCATGGGAAGTTTTTGTTACTAAGTGAAATGTCCCAGCTATGCCCAGTTGCATCAGACCCACAGTTCAATCCAATGGGAGAAATTGTTATTTGTTAATCCTAGTAATATTGGGAGGGGGGAGGAAGGAAGGGAGAGAGGAGTGGGGGTAGAGAGGGAAAGAAAGAAAGAAAGAGAGTGAGAGAAAGAGAGAGAAAGGAAGAAAGGAAGGAAGGAAGGAAGGAAGGAAGGAAGGAAGGAAGGGAAGGGAAGGAAAGGAAAGGAAAGGAAAGAAGGTAAGGAAAGGAAGGAAGGAAGGAAGGAAGGAAGGAGAGAGAAAGAGAAAGAGAAAGAGAAAGAGAAAGAGAAAGAGAAAGAGAAAGAGAAAGAGAAAGAAAGAAATGTCAATGGGGAAGCCAGAAGGAAATCGGAAGGAAGGAAAGGCATGGAGGGAGGGAGGGAGGAAGGGAGGGAGGGAGGGAGAAAGGGAGGGAGGGAGGGAGGGAGGGAGGAAGGAAGGAAAATGGAAGGAAGGAAAGGGAGGGAGGGAGGCAGGAAGGAAGGAAGGAAAATGGAAGGAAGGAAAGGGAGGAGGGAGGGAGGAAAGGAAGGAAGAAAAGGGAGGGAGGGAGGGGGAGGGAAGGAAGGAAGGAAGGAAGGAAGGAAGGAAGGAAGGAAGGAAGGAAGGAAGGAAGGAAGGAATTATCCACAACACTATTCATTGCAGCAATTAAATTATTCATTTCTAATGTCTGTGACATTATCCTAGTCAGTTGAGGCGTTTGTCCCTTGTCCATCTCATTTTGCTCGATCTTATTTTGTTCCTAGCAGGATGAGACAGATCCCCACTAAAGGGAGAGACAGAAATAGAAAAACAGGACGCATCACACTCCCTTTCTCCACCCCCAGTCCACAATTAGGGGAGGGGGAGTCAGCCCAGAGCAGCAGCAGGGAAGGGGGAGGGGAGAGAGAGCCAGAGAAGTATTAGGGTCTCGCGCACCGCTATTCATTTTGCAAACTATAATTAATTTGATGTTTAGATTAATATCTGATGCACTCTCAAAGGTGCATACAAAGCATTTTTACTTTATTATAATGTTGATTGCTTATTGGGGAGATAAATTTCATTGTCAAGGAATCCCCCGACTTAACAAAACTTTTAGTCTTAGCTAGCATGTCTGCAACAAAGAGCAGAGGTTGGTGCTTTCGCCACTCCACGCTTGGGCCTGACGATCCCAGCCAGGAAAGGGCACTTAGGACGGGCAGGGACCTGGCTTT